TTTTCATTATTTTGTCAATTAAATGATTAAAAATATTATTCATATGTCTGTTTCCTTATTTATTTCGGTTAAATATTTTTTCTACTTTTCTATAAGCAATATTTCATTTAGTCAGAATTAATAACAATAGAGTCGATTTACAAAATCACATGATCAGTTTTTTGGTTATAATCAAATGTGATAATTTTAAGATCTTTAACACTTGATCAAGTAATTTCAATTCGATTTTCTTCTCTAAAAAATTATTCATTTTTTGGAAAAAAAACTTCAAAATACCGGTTTTCAAATGAGTGAAACATCTCGGGATATTTTCTCGTAGGAAGATATCCTACAAAAATTGAAAAACGATGTAATGTTATCTATTTGACTGAAGAAAAGAATATGTCCCGGTAAATAAGATTTATTCTCTACAGTGACAATTACGCAGTGTTAATTATGTAACCATTTAATTTTATCTTCTTCGTTCTATGTGATTCATTCGTGATATCTTTATTCTAACTAATTAGATTATTTCTAGAGAATCTTTTAGGATTTAATAATGTTTAACTATAAATCAAATTTGTTCAGTTATGAATTTGAACAATATTCTAAAAGAGAATTGAATCTAGAAAAATTCAAATCGTTAAGTCGTACCGATTCTGGTATTTCACTTAATACAAATAAAAAATCTGAAACACAATTAAATATTCTCAATCAAGAATTTCATCAGTCTTGAGTGTGGGTGTGGGTATGAATAGAAAGAGTAGACACCCACACGCTTAAGATAGAGTACGTAAAATATGGGATTATGGAAGTCACACTTTTTCCCCTCTTTGACTACACCGATATCCTCAAGATGATATTAGACAATCATTAGTTTTCTTCGTTTATATGTTGTGATATTTAGTCTAATCAGTGTTTACATTAGATTCTAATATGTTGATACGATTTTCTGTTATTTTTTAAAAAGTTTTTCTTAGCTCCATTATGTACAATTGCATAGTTTATTTGTACATCCAGGAACAATAATTATACTAATTTATATATAATAAACATTCGAAGAAAATAATCTTACAAAGTTTTTTTATATTTTATCCAATTTATCTATGTAATATGAAATAAGAATATGTAGAAGTGAAAGATCATGGAATCCAAATATACAATGTATGATCTTCAATTTTTACAACTACTTTGTATTCATCGTTTCTATTTAAACCAAATGATTGACGCCACTTTTCTATTATATGTTCTTGCGTGATTGTATCATCTGCTAAACCTTTATGAGAAAATGTTACGATAATATGGCGTAGCATTTTAAGGCCACAAAGAAAAATATCGACGATTGGTATGCCAGAATCGAGTGAATATACTTCAATTTCGACATGTGACAAAGATGGAAAAGAGTCGACAATTTTCGATCCATGTTTCAGCGAAACATATATATGATCGGAAATTAATTCAAGAGCCTTTATTCGAGCAAAAGTGAGTGAAAGGTTTGGATTGTCAATGACGATAGACGAGAAAAATAATGAAGTACGCATAATAAGTTTTGTAACATTAATACATGCTCTAAAAACAAAAAAAAACAGAGTTATTTTTGATTAATTATTCAATGTAGGATATAGTTGTGACTAATATATCAAATTGATTCCAAATACATCTCGTTTAAGAAATTATACTCTCGTATCGATTTTAAAACAGGAGTCCAAGAAGTGAGCTTAGTTTATCTGATAATTTCTTATGTATCCTATTTCTGCACTTTGATTAAAACTGTCGTGATACGAACTATAAACAAATCTTTTTATACTCTAGTTTATAAAATGATGTTGACTCAATAAAAATACTTCAAGAATGATTGCTATAATCTTACTCGCACAAAAACTGAATTCTTTATTGCATGTTTTTTTGCAAACAAGTTTCTATAATATTTCTTTATAAAATATTTATCAAAAATTTGTTCGGAATAAATAAACTTACAATAAAACATATGGGGCAACATATGATCGGCTTAAGTCATTGCTATGTTCGAATTCCAAGTTGGTAATACTGGACAAATCAATAAGAGCTGAAAGATTGCTAACATATTGATGTGATTCACTTCTATATGAATGTGTAGAATCTGAATAACAGAAAACAAAAATGTAATTAATCAATGATAAGAAGTAACAATAATTCAATGAATATAAATATACTCACTTAATTCATATATTTTTTTAAATAGCCGTGCGATTACTGATACTTCTATGAATGATAAATATATCACAAGATAATTGACATTTCTAAAAGGAATATTTGAAGATGGCTTAATGATTTGTCTCTCCATATATGGCAGCATATAAAATTCTACGAAAGTGTTATTTGATTGATATTTATGATCATTAGTATTTGATATATCTGTTGATATTGTTTCAAATGTACCACAAACTATATTTATTGTTGTCGGACGTTTATATCGTGGTGCTATAGATTTGTAATTGAGTGTGTGTAAAACAATGGGTTTACCTAAATATGATATCATTTAAAATAAAAATAAAAAAGTAATAGAAATCACAATCTATGAAGGAAGAAGAATAACATCTTTCTAAATAGTGACACGAGCATCGTATACAAGAAATTCATGTTAGTCGAACGCACGTTATCAATATTTGTTTAAGGATTTATCTAAAAAATTCTATCAATAGTAGTTTTCGCTATTCTCGGCAGATTCTAATTTCATTTCAATTCCAACAATATGTAACAACACTGAATAAAATAGTCTATCTTTCTTTTGTCATTTGCAAAATTCAGTAAAATAAGTCATATGATATTTTAAACTTACGAGGTCCGATATCTTCATAGGTTATCCATCGACTGATACCCATATGCCAACCATTATAATGTGTGACAAAATAACGAAATGAATTAAGAATCAAGTTTAAATCCAATAATCGATTATCCATTAAAAAAGACATATGAAAATCGAATACCTTCAAATTTGCTACATAACCTGTTAACATTCGTTGCCAGTTATTTCCATTGATGAATGAATCTATAAGCCATTGATTCATATGGTTATTGACAAGAGTAAGACTTAATTCTTGAAGATTAGACATACAATGAAGAATAAGACTCAGTGAATGAATATTACATTGTGTGAATATCTGCAGATTAAGTATTTTTAATATTGGTATTGCAGGTAAATCATCTTCATTTATAGATGGAAAATTTGGAATACTAAAAAGAAAAAAGAAATATTATTTTATATTTCAGTCATTTAAATAGTCTTCTTACTTAATATTATGATTATCGTGTGACATCGGTTGATTTTTTATTATAACAATGAGTTGTCGCAATGCGTTACATACACGAAGAACAGGAATTAACGAATAAATTGTTATTTTATCAACTTCCCCGTGAAATATCAATTGTAGATATTTAAGGTTTATATTAGTGGTCATCGTTGTCGTTAATTCAGGATGATCTTAATGATATAGAAGAGTGGCAAAACGAAGTGTCAATGGTGCATTTAGCAGAGTCATTTCACTGAACAGATGTGCATGACTTCTACATATATTATACTTACTAGTATAGTAAGTCTGAAATATGTGAAGCGATGTCATCTGAGATTGTAAATTCAATTTCTTGATAACATTTTCCAATTTAGATGAATCTTGAAGAGCTCTCAATACGCAGAAACGAAGGTTGGGAAAATCATGTCTACTAAAAAGATATGCGACGACATTTTTCTGATCACATATTTTATCGAAAATATTGAGCGAAATAATTTGATCGGAATGAAACGTTAAATGATGTGATAAAAATTTAATTTGGCTACGACAATATACAGGATCAATAATTACATGAAGACGAGTTAATTTTATAATAGATGAAATACGTGAATTGAGAGAAGCAAATACCAAAAATAGATCGAATGCATTCAAGTAATCAAAGATTTCACAAAATAGTTCACTGGGTAAATCTTCTAATTGCATATAATTTTCCATTGTACTGACTAACGAACATATGTATAAAATATATAGTGAATGAAATATATGGCAGGGTAATTGATGAATCCCGACCAATAAATAAAAAAGGCATTGCATATGTGCGTGTTCGACGTCAGCCATTCACTTCACAATGTTTTGACCGGTTAAAACAGACGGAAAAAAGACTATTTTTTTGTTATAATGCCATTGAGAGGTCAAAGATCTCAAGGGTGTAGGTGGATGTTGGTATCAGCACGAGATGCTTACATCCACACCCCAAAAACGTATTCGAACGTTTGTGCATCAGATAATGATAGACAAACAACTTCCAAAACAGGCGAGCCAAGCCAATTCGATGACGACTCGACCGAATTCAAATGACATTATCGAAGGAATGGCAAGAAGCTTAATTCATCGAATACGGATGAATTTTACTTCTGCAAGACAGATGCAACTGGTCGAGGTGAAATAGTCATTCGCAAGAATAAAAATGAGTTAATATTTTCTCGACGCCTGATCAATTCACTATTAGACAGGGATTAACCGCCTGAGATAACAGAAATTCTATATAAGTATCTATTAATTCGCCTTCGTCTACTATAAAAAGTGTAGTAATCGTACAACAAGATTGAAGTGCATCGAAGTGTTAATTTGATTCATCAAGACTAACTAAAGGAGAACAGTACTTCATTACATAAAGTTTCTGAACGTAAACGCATGATATAATCACTATTCGTCTTCAATGCAATGAAGAAATACCACTCTGGGCACCAAACGTAAGAGGTTGAATCAAAATTAACCGTGTGTTATTGAGAAACTGTTTTCGCCGAATATCAAAACGAAAGTATCTATGACTTACAACCATAAAACGAATCTGACGCGCTAGATAAAAGTTCACGTGTTAAAGCCATATTCTGAGATTACAAAACGTATACAACATTTTTCATTTTATAAATCAGATCTTAATATAAAAAATGAAGCGGGGATGAGTGTGACTTTTTAGGGGTGATATGATAGTGCGAATAATTGCAGATCGAAGTTAGTGGATGGGTGAAGGTAGATTAGAACGAGGCAAGTACACCTTGACCACCATTGGACTTAATAGTAGGTAGATTGCGTGTACACGAAAAACTGCAGCGTGCACACACAATTCCATTCACACTAATCCTACACCTACACCCACATCGTCAAAACGCTAAGCATTTTGTCCCATGTTCCTGCAAGACAATTTACGTAAACATTAAAAAAGAACAAAAAATAAGATTATATGTGAAACGAAGGATATTCTAATAAAAAAAGAAAGGAACGGTAAATCGTACCAAGGCGTGAAAGTAGCCGCATATTAATCGTGCTGAAGTGACTGGCTAACACTGCTTTCCATTGTTCCATCGACCCACACGTATCGTTCCATCAGACCATATGTATTTTCCGCGTCCGTGCATTTTATCACTCATCCACTGCCCTATGTATTTATCTCCGGATGCCCATGTCTGTGTTCCCTTCCCAACTCGTTCATTGACTACAAAGTCTCCGATGTATTTAGTGTCGTCAGCCCATATAAATGTTCCTTTGCCAGTTCTCTGACCATCTTTCCAGTCTCCATCATAAACATCTCCATCTGACCATAAGTATTTTCCACGCCCATGTCTTTTATCATTGACCCACTGACCAATATATTTGTCTCCCGATGGCCATGTTCTAGTTCCTTGGCCATCAAAGTTATCTTCTTTCCATTCACCATTATACTCTCCACCATCTTTCCACTTGAAGTTACCTTTGCCAGTTTTCTTATCGTTCCTCCACTCTCCATCATATACACTTCCGTCAGCATATGTACGAATGCCTTTTCCATGCATGTGTCCCTTCTTCCACTGACCGTTATAAGTCGAACCATCCACCCATGTATGGGTTCCTGTCCCAGTTTGTTCATCGACTACAAAGTCTCCGATGTATTTATTACCGCAAGACCACATAAATGTCCCGTTACCAGTTCTATGATCATCTTTCCAGTCTCCATCATAAACATTTCCATCTGGATATATGTATTTTCCCCGCCCATGCTGTTTACCATTGATCCACTGACCAATATATTTGTCTCCCGATGCCCACGTTCTAGTTCCTTGACCATCAAAATTATCTTCTTTGCACTCACCATTATACTCTCCATCATCTTTCCACTTGAAATTACCTGTACCATTCATCTTACCGTTTATCCACTCTCCGTCATATATATTTCCGTTAGCATATGTACGAATGCCTTTTCCATGCATGTTTCCGCTCTTCCACTGACCATTATAAGTCGAACCATCTACCCATATAGAGGTCCCCGTCCCAGTTCGTTCACCAACTATAAAGTCTCCGGTGTATTTATTACCGTTAGCCCATACAAATGTACCTTTGCCAGTTCTATGATCATCTTTCCAGTCTCCATCATAAACATCCCCGCTTGCATATAAGTGTTTTCCACGCCCATGCTGTTTATCACTGATCCACTGCCCAATATATTTATCTCCCGATGCCCATGTTCTAGTTCCTTGCCCATCAAAGTTATCATCTTTCCACTCACCATTATACTCCTCACCATCTTTCCACTTCAAGTTACCTTTACCATGCCTCTTATCGTTCCTCCACTCTCCGTCATAGATATTTCCGTTAGCATATGTACGAATGCCTTTTCCATGCATGTTTCCCTTCACCCATTGACCGATATAGGTTGAACCATCCACCCATACATAGGTTCCCTTCCCAGTCTGTTCATTAGCTACAAAGTCTCCGGTGTATTTAGTACCGTCAACCCATATATAGGTTCCCGTTCCAGTTCGTTCACCGGCTATATAGTCTCCCATGTATTTATTACCATCAGCCCATAGAAATGTACCTTTGCCAGTTCTCTGATCATCTTTCCAGTCTCCATCGTAAACATTTCCGCTTGGCCATAAGTATTTTCCACGCCCATGCTTGTTACCGTTAATCCACTGGCCAATATATTTGTCGCCCGATGGCCAAGTTCTAGTTCCTCTACCGTGGAAATTATTATCTTTCCATGTTCCATTGTATTCACCCCCCGAGGCCCATTGATAGGTTCCCTGACCATCTTTCTGACCATCAACTATGGACCCATTATACACATCTCCATTCGAGAATTTCACTGTTGAAGTGGAGCCTGTTGGGACTTTGCTTGTAGATGAATTTGAAACTGTAGGTTTCAATGCACTGTCGCTAATTTGCGGTAGAAAAGAGGTAGAGGGAGTAGATTTCTTAACGGTCGAATCGTTATCAAGAATTTTCGATTGATTAGGGAACATAGACTGGTGATCAGTTGATGCATTTTTGGTAGGCTTCTTAATATCTATTTTGCTTGCGGTGATCGATGGTAATTTGATCATTTCTTCGTAACGTGTTATCTCATCTAAATGAATAATGTGAAGACCATTCATGTTTAATGGATTTCCAACAACTTTCAGTCGCGTACCAGGCAACAAAATAACCTCTTCTTCACTTGTATAGCTCGAATGCTTTTCGATAGATCTAGCGCTCTCACAGTTAATCATCAATAAGGTGTTGTGTCCACTTTTTTCCATAAAGTTCTGTGCGACATTTATATTCTTCGTGCACGATGTCACTCGCCACCATGTGAATATTTTACCTTTTGAGAATTCATTGGCTTGCTCTTTTGTAATATCTTTGTTGATACCTCGCCAGACTTGTACCCTTTGTGGTGGTAGTTTGGTCACAGCGACATGAAAGAGTTTCAAATAAGGAAACCACGGCCTCAGTTTGTGTCGCGTTTTGCGTTGTATAGTTTCGTTTAGTATTTTGTAAAGACCAATGCTCTCCATCGTGTACAGATAGATGCAGGCCGCTTCATCAGATGTTAATTTTTCCGACGGGTTCGAGCATTGTTCTTTAGCACGTTGAACGTGAAATTTTATACTTGGGATTATGCCAGTGATTGACTCCACGGCTTTTTCCAAAGGTACTTGGGGAAGATTTAAATAACCATCAATAGCAGGCAAGTTATATGTTGCATTCGATTCTTCAATGTACAGACGAGACACCATAATCGACTACAGGCAATGTTTCTGATTAGAACAGTGTTTTTAGAGGTCTCAATATTTTGTCTTAAAAAAAAAGAAAATGTGTGTAAACATACAAATTTTTTACATATTTGAGTACAGAAATGTCTGTTGCACCGCATAGTGTTAAATTCAGGTAATTATCTAGAAAACTAATCAAGTAACTAGCGGTAGTTTTCAGCAAATGGTGTGGGAGTAGGTGTAGGAGCCGGTGTAGATGTGAGTGTCGGTGAATGGGGTTGGCATAGGTATCCTTAAAATAACACATCCATCCACATCCACATCAGCATCAAAAAATCGAGAATTCGTATTTTTACCTGTCGCGACCGCCATCAGTATTTTTAATGTAGTAAATGACGTCGATGTATAATTATTTTCACTCTTATATTTTGTTGCATCTAATATACCAGCATCTAAACTATAGATAAGAACAAGAAGAATGAGAAAATAAATAAGAGAGACAAAAGATCTTACTCACATTGAAACAAATATTAAAAAAAACTTGTATACAAGCCAACGAGAGACCTTTACGATTTATCAGATAACATACTTCTTACTATCATCAACAGTTTTTCCAAGAAATGAAAAAAATACAGTATGAAACACAACGCTTGGTGTGTTGCACTTGAAAAAATAAAGAGGAAAAAAGAACAAATAAAAGATATTTAGAGACGCACTTTTTTCACTGCTCTTGTCGATAGACCGAAATTCACCGTAAAGAAATAATGAATGTTAGCGTCTATTCTTTGGTCATATTCGAATCTACACCCTAAAGATGGCGAAATATGTACCAGAGTGTGTGTTTCTTAATGAGGGTGAAATATACACACAGAGCATATTTTTGGATGTGGCTGACAATGAATACTGACAGATAGACAAGAGATGGTCATCATGGATGCAAGAGAACAGAGTAATGAGCTAATTTGAAGGATTATGATAAAGTCTTCTCAGACAATATAAACGTGGATAAGTTGCCGTGCTTGATATGTGCTGATGCGTCTGAGACGATAGTTTACGTCGGGAAATGTTTTGGGTTCTTATTTTCTGCGACTATTGAGGCGCTTTTTCATTAGTTTTTTACAAATGAGAAGGGAAGAAGCTGGTCTTGAGAAATGTTAACACATAATATATATAATAGAAATGCATGCTGATGGGTCGAAAATTTAGTGAACGGTGCATAGAGATATTGAAATCAGGGTGTGAATGTGGCTGTCGATACGATATAAATAGGACACCCACACTCTCTAATTGAGAAAATAACAAATATTATTTTTGATATAAACAACAATTAGTTCAGCATTATGTAAAGAAAGATAATTAAATGATAAATCTTTCTTGTAGGGTTGAAGAACATATTACGATGAATGAGTTATTCTTGCTATAAATCAAACCAATCTATGTTTTTCTGTTTACTTTGTCATGAAGAAACTAATCGACTGTCAGTTTCATATGTCATCTAAAACATTCTTTCAAGTTACAAATATCTTTTTTCTTGTTTTTTGAACGAAATTCGAATAACTTTATTAATCTCTTTAGCAAACATGAAAAGTACTCTATTGATTAATAAGAATTTTGACGAAATTACATGATGATGGTACAGTTCTTCTGAATATTTATTATAAAATAGAAACCATTGATATTACCGTACTTTAGAAAATGATTAACAATTCAATGCGTCATGACGAGTAAAGATATTTTGGATTATAAATCAAAAGAAATTATCAACTTATATTATTAGACCAAATAATATAGATAAATCGTATAAATCGTCATTGAATTTATGTACTCTAATGAAATAATCCAATTACATGTTTCATATTATAGATAGGATAATCAGATGTAATACTAAAATGAAGAAAAAACACCGTAGAAGGCGATCATTTGTGTTGTGTCTGTTATTGGTTTGAATCAACCAAAATTGATAATAGTAATAAAGGAAAATGATTCATAACTTAAATCGATAGTGCTAGGACGTATTTCGATCCCTTGATTCTTCTCGTTCTTATTCTATGATATCTTCTGTATATCTCCTATGTTATCGATTACTTCTTTTATTTATCCTCGATTGACTTCTCTATTCTTGAGGGTGTGGGTGTTGATATTCTTCCCACTCGTTATCGATAGCAACACTCACTCTCTAGATGGTCGGAATGATCGACCTGGGTATGATCAAAATCGATCTTTTCGTGCTGCAAATGATAAAAAGGTGAACCCAGTCGTAAGTTAATAAATATGGATTAATTTAAAATGAAATTAGAGACAAGGCAAATTCTTAGAAGGATCTTGTTGTACTTATGTGATCGTGTACAGCATCTATGGTCGGAAGCAGTGGACGTTTTTTATGTCGTTCATGATGCTGTACACGATTACATGGCCTTCATGCGTCATGAAATTCGGGAAAACGACGATTTGTATTTACTAACAATTATTACAGTTATTATATTTGCCTTTGCTGCCGCATTTATTCATCATGTATATCGTTGGAAACGATATGTACTACGAAAAACAGAAAAAAGTTTTATTATGTGATCAAAAAAAACTCGTTTAAATAAAAAAAGATAAACAGAAACCATCGTCTGTTCCAATAATATCGACTGTTAGTTTTTCATCCGGTACTAATTAAATAGAATAAAAAGAAATATTTTAAAACTACGAAATTATATTCTAAATTCATACAATATACATACAAGGTTATAATAGAATCTTACAATGGATGCTTGGTAAAAATAAATTACTTTTTCAGTTCATCGCACATTACTTGCACTCAATAAAAGAACAATTTAAATGTTAGTACTTACGTCCTAGGACTTGTAGATGAATTTGGATTGAACTTGAATAATAATTATAGTTTTGAGTAAAATATATTTTTCAATAGTCAAAAGTAGTGAGAAAATCTTATAAGATAATCATTAAAGTTATGAACGGTCGAGCTTAAGTAAAGCTACAGAAAACCTTCAAAAAAATACTTGATTTGTTTTCTAATTTTTTAAAAAGATTTCAAAGACAAGACACTATATCATAAACTCATACATTTTTTCGAAAACAAAAGTTCGATATCATATGAATACTGCACGTATCACAATACTTACAATCAGCAAAATCTTTTTACATCTTTATTCAAATGTTAATCTAGATAGATATTGTTTGAACTAATTGAACTTTCATTCTCAATCAGAGTTTAAGGTAACTTTATTTAAAATAAAAAAAACAAAATGTATTTATTTAGGCACACGCCGTTCATAAATATAATCAAATAATGAATTATGTATCGAATCGAATACAAATCGATCCATTTTACTGATATATCCATTTTGAAAATCACGTGCATACATTGATTTTAAATAAGCTAACTTTTTAAATCCAATCCAACCATCCTAAACATGTTTTTAATAATAAAAAAAAAACATTTTTATTTTTTCTTATGTTACCTTGCATCGAATGCATATACATTCAAGAGATTTATTATAAATTGCTGTTCCTGGTTGTGATGATATAGTATTTAGATCATTAAGAATACTTTGATCATTAATTAATGTTAGTAGTTTTAAACGAACAGGTTTTTGACGAAAAATAGTTCGTAGATTTGCCTAGGATATTAAGAATTAATAAAATTAAACTTAAAATAATTTTTAAAAGATACAATTTGATTAAGAGCTCGATACAATCGATCAATATCTTCAGTGGTATGATTATGCCAATCGATATAATATCCATATTTATTTATTTTATGAGCTAATAGAAATATATAAGAATTATTTCTTAAATATAATCTATTTTATATTACCATATGTAATCCCTGATAATGCTTGTTCCTGAGCATTTTCTCGTGATTTAATTGGATCTTCCAAAACTTTATCTAACTAAAATAATAATTAAACTTTTATAAAAAAATACTATATATCTATTTACTAATGAACATCCAACATCGGCAGATATTTTTAATAATTCAAACATAGTCATATTCGTTGATAATGGAAATGATTGTTGCATTAATACAGGTCCAATATCAAAACTATTGATTAGCACAAAAAGAAAAAGAATGTATAAGAAAAAAAAAACTTTCTTATACACACTTACTCACTGTTTGGGTCGTATATCCATAATTGAAACACCACTAGTTTTATCTCCACTAGCAATTGTATAGATAAGTGGAGAACTACCACGCCATCGAGGTAATAAACTTGGATGAACATTGATTATACCTCTAGAAACATTAAATAAACAAGTATATTTTCAAAATCGTTCAATAAATTTTAATTTACAAAGGAAAAGATTCGATCAATCGTTTAGGTAATAATTGACCAAATGATGCAAGAATTCCTACATCAAATTGAACAGGTGATTTGGATATTAAGGAATCAATATCTGGCCAAACATGAGTTGTTAATTGAAGTTTTTCGGCACCTTGCATAACAGTATTTAGAGTTGATACAGTTGTTACTACTTCTAAACATTTTATTCGTGATTTATCATTAAGAAATAGTTGATAGAGATGTTCAAGAATATGCATAGAAAAAAGGTCAGAACCAAAAAATGCAACATTTAATGGTTTAATAGTTGAAGTTGAGTAACAATGTTTAAAGAGATGAATATGACGATGAACAAAATATCGACCATGAAGAATAAACATCGAAAACTAATCTAATCTAAAACAAGGAATTAGTTTTATATATTTATTTTTATATAATCAATGCTTGTATTAATCTAAAATTAATAGAAAGAAATATGTCAAATTCAATGTATAACACAAGTGAATATACTTACAAAAAGAGATAAATAAAAAAGCATATAAGATAGAATGGTAATCGAATAATAAACTCCTATACAATCAAGAAAATAACTTATAGTATAAAATAAATCTAATTCTTACTCTCATCTTTGCTTTAATCCGTTGTCGATTATTAATTTCTAATGGATCATAGATACCTAATTGACCGGGTTGACGCTTAAAATATCTAAAAGAAACATAAAATTAAAACGATCATATGAAATCGGCAAATATATTTACACATAAGCAAACCAAAGATCCAAACAAACATTGAGCAGAAATAGAAGCCAATGATTACTGAATATGAAAAAAACTGTTAACATCACATGTAATGCAATTTCAGGTAGAAACGTCTAACAAAAATATTATTATATTTTGATAAAATACAAATTAATAGATATTTACTTGATTAAGTTTAGTACAACATTGCCGAACATTCATCAAATCAGTTTCAAGATCAGATAAAGTTATAATCTGTATAGAATGTATTGAGAAAATTTTCATAATTATATTTTCAAACTTACATTATAAATATTAATCAATAATAGAAGAATATTATCAATCATTGCAAAACCAAATAATAAAGCCGTCATAGACATTTTGTTTATATATATCTAAATACACCCGATAATTCGTGTGTATATTCTTTTATTTATTCAAATTAAATTCGAAAAGAAGAAAAACAATTTTTTTTTTGATTTTATTTATTCAACTTATCTGCACATACATATATATATACAGACATCTACTATTTTAAGACAAGAACAAAAAGAATCTGACACATAACAATTGAATTTATATATAAACATGTTCATTAAATGAATAACAAAAAAAAGTATCTCCTTATTTTTGAGATATATCTAAGCAATGGTTTTTTTTTCTTTTAAAGAAAACAAACAACCGGGTTATAGTACAACAAAAACAAAATGTTCAAAAGAGATTTATTATTATTTCTAATGTCCATTACCATTTGCAACAATAATATTATCATCATCAACTTCAAGACGTGGTCGTTTAACACGTAGTCGTTGTGTTGAACTTGGTGTTGCTATTGGTTTACATCCATCATTCATCATTGGTGTTGCATTGCCATTTACAACAACTTCAGATTCTGTTCGATTTCCAATATGTAATCTAATAATTGCAAAAAAAAATAATGAATCGCTTTCTTTTTTGTTTTGTATAACCTACCGTTCTTCTTCGGAATCAAGTAGTTTTCTATATGTTGAAATTTCTCGATCAAGTCCAATTTTAGTATCAAGTAAATTTTGATAATCAATTTGCATTTGTTCAATAATCTGTTTAAGATTTTGTATTTCATCATCACGTTCATTTAATGATTCATGTTGTTGTTGTTGTGCAAGATAAGCACGATCTTCCAACTCACGGCAACGTTTATCTAATTGTAGCATTTTTTCATTACATACATCACGAGCTTTCGTTGTTTCTTCAATTCGTTCACGATAAGATGATAAATCAACACGATAATTATTAATTTGTTCGACATAACGACGATTAGTATTGTATAAATCATCAATCTAAATATATATAGATATATTAAAATATTAAACTATTTTTCTTCCTCACCTTTTTCTCATATTGTGTAGCAATTTCTTCTCTTAATAAACTCATTTCTTGATCATTTTGTGCACGTAATTGTTGTAATTCTTGTAAGAGTTTATCATCATATTGTTCTCTTAAACCATCACTATGCATAATGTCATAGGTTTGTTGTTCTTTTATTTGTTGAATATGCTAAAATATAATATATGATTATTGTAAACGAAGAAAAGAAGTTTCTATAAATATACTGTTTTATGCACTTGTTCATTAAATTCTAATTCTTCACGTAATGTTTTATTTTTATTTTCAAGATCAATACGTAATAAAGTTTCAGATTCAAGTTGACGTTTTAAAGCTGATATTTGTTTTTCAAGCTCATCATTAAAATTTTCAAGTGACTAAATAAGAAAAAATAATTATTCAAAACAAAAGACTAGTCATTTTCATACTTCATTTTCTTCAGTTCTACGTGTTATATCATATGTAATTTTATCACAACGTGCTTTTAATTCAGCTATTTCATTTTCATATTGTTTAAAACGAGATTCATATCCACGTGAATCACGATCAATACGAGAAAATCTAAAAATAAAGAAGAATAGTAATGAAAATAATTCTTTCGAATATTTTACTTTGTTTGTAAATCTGTATTTTCACTACGATATTTTTCAAGTTCAATTTCAAGACGTGATTTTTCATGGGCTAATTCTTCAATTAATTTTTTAGCATCATCTGAAAAAAAATATCAAAGAATATTATTAGTTTTATTTCAAAATTAATTTTACCTAATTCATTCTCATACAATGTTTTAACTTTTGATGTTTCAGTTTCAAATGATTGAGCATTTGTTTTAACAATACTCTTAAAAATAGAAATATAGATAGTATATATTTATAGTTAATTAAAATTTACTCGTAATTTTTCATTATCTTGTTCAAGACGTCGGACAGTATCGATGATTACTGCTAACCGATCATTAAGTGTTTGTAATTCATGTTTTTCTTGTTGACGAGTTACATTCAATAATGGTGAAGTTGTTAATGATGATGATGTAGATGTTAATGAAATACCAGATAATGTACGATGTTTCAATCCATTACCATTTGTTGATAATGTTGGTGTAATGAAAACATGATTTTCAGTATTTGATTTCGAAGTCACAGGTCCATTATTTGAATTTTCCTTAGCACTTACATCCGTTCGTGAAGTTGAAGCAGCACGGCGACGAAAAACTGAAAACATTATATTCTGTTTTTATATTTTTATAGAAATGATAAATTTGATTGTTAATTTGAATTTTTTTGACTTATGCCTTTTATGGCAGACAATGCACAAAGAACATCTTATGAGAAAAAGAATAACATTTTGATAGGTCAATTCAGATGTTAATTCATATTTATAGAAAAAATTAAATAGAAATTAAATATTTTTATAAATATATATAATAGAAAATAATAAATTAATTCTATAGATAATATAATAATAATAGTATGTACACGACATCTATCGGAATATTCAAATGTTGTAAATTTCCTATGTCATCTTGTTCAATCTATGAACCATCGATGCAAAATGCATTTATTACGACAAAAACAAAAAGATCAAACGTGATTAACAATAACAAAAACATATGGCAAACGATAAAGAGGAAAGCACACAGTGATAGTGAAGTTTGCTATGAAAATCAAATGAAAAATGACAAGACTAGAAAAACGAATGTTTATATATTATTTTTTGTTTTGTTGTTTTAATTTAACAGCCCAATTATGTAAACGAGCCATGTTTACTTCTGTTGTAGTAATTTGATCTCTATTTATTACAAAAAATAATATAATTATTAGATACATTAATTTCCATTTCTTTACCTTAAAAAATCAAGATCTTCATCAACTTTTGTAAGAGTTGTTTGTGCTGTTTTTTGATTTCCATTTAATAATACATCAGCTTCATCGATAGGATATTCAAGCATAACATTAGCACCTAACCATAAACAAAC